ATTTCTCAACCTTAAAAGAAGTTTAGATATCCTATATCTTAGTCGGCTTGTTTCATTTGGAATTATTTGACTCGTGTTAGCTTCCCTATTGTTGAAATGTATATTGTGGGATCATTGCTACATATTAGTTTTCCCTTGCTGAGATGTTCTCTTTACGCCTAGCATTCTTTACTGTGGTTATTCCTTATGAATTGGTTCTACCTTTTCTTGTGACTTAAAGTTCTTGAGTTGATTTACTTGTCGTACTTTGTATTATTGCCATTGTTGCTGTTGTACTTTTTGTGGTAATGCACAGGGTTTCTGTCGTGTGGTTGTTGTTATTGTGATGCACGAGTTTCTGCCGTGCGGTTGTGGTTATTGTGATGCACGAGGTTTCTGCCGTGCGGTTATTGTTATGGGGTTGCACGAGGTTTTTGNTGGCCTGGGGGCATTCTTGTTATTGATATTTGTGTAGTGGTACACTTACCTGTGTGAGCTTTATTTTGTGAAAGTTGTGAGAAAATATTCTACGTGTTGTCCGTTCCTTTTCCTTATGCTTATTTCCTGGTATGGACTATGTTAGGACACTTGCACAAGCATACACGTAGTTAAGTACTCTTATCGGATAAGAGGTGTTCTTGATAGTGTTGAGCATAGATGCTCACCGTTGTTTACTTGCCTTCTATGTGAGACTAGCTCTATTGGCACGTGAGTTGTCAGTACGGTTATGAGATGTTGTGAGGGCACATGATGCCAAGTGTTAGGGTTCAGGTATTGAGACCCATGAGTTATGATTGTCTGAGGTTCGGTACCTCGTGGAGTTGATGACTAAAACCTAATGTAAAAGCGGTTGTAGTTGTTGAGTTATTACTTGTCCTTGTTGTATTTGTGATTCCGGATTTAGGTTGTGTTCCATTCATTTTTCTGTGTCATTTTTATGGCATTCCGCTGATACTTGTTGTTTCCTTTCTTATTGCCATTACTGTATTGTGAGCCATATTGTATAGTCTTTATGTAGATATCATATTTCTGCTGTTCATATACTTTTACTTTTTCAGTTTATTAGACCAGTGGGTGTCTTGACTGTTCTTCATCACTACTCCAACGAGGTTAGTCTTGATACTTACTGGGCACCGCTGTGGTGTGCTCATTCTACACTTGTGCACATTTTTGTGTAGATCCAGGTATTGTTCGTTAGTAGCTGTGCGGGTCGTTGCCGTGGAGACTCAAGGTAAACCTACTGCTACATTCGCAGGCTTCAGAGTCACATTCAAGTTTTCGTTTCGCACTATTATTCTTATTTCTGGACAGTTGTATTTAGAAGTTTTCTAGCAAACACTCTGTAGAGCTTATGACTTGTACTACCGATTTTGGGAATTGTAAATTTTCTTATAAATAATTCCATTTCAAGTTGTTAGATGTTATTTATTATGGTTGTTATTCAGTAAATGTTAGGCTTACCTAGTCCCTTAAGACTAGGTGCCATCACGATACCTAATGGAGGGGAAATTGGGTCGTGACAGGACAATAGAAAAACCTCACCACACATGGCACATGAGTCACTAAGAATGGTTCTGTTCCTTCTCTCAAACAATTACAAGTATTCACGTAGCCACAAATTATTATGCGTTAAGCCTAAAATGAGCACAAGCCAAGAAAAGGAGACATAGGCATCAATAAACATGTTATCTAATTCATCAAGGCATCATAAGTAATTTCAAACTATAGGAAAGGTAATATACATGCTAAAGCCAAAATGTGCTACTATCAAACAAGCCAAAAGGTACCTAAAAATCTCATCTTGTCCATCCTTTTTTTCCTACATCCTAATCTATTCTGAAAAAATAAAAAAACTACTATCCGATTCAAACTACATCCCATAGAAAGAACCGAGGCACAAAGAAAAATACGGGATATTATTACTACTTAATTAAACTAAAAGATACATTTTTGGATTGTGTTAGTTTTTAATTTTTTGTGTTTTATGTTAGACTTTAATCGCTCAAGAAAACTGCCTAGGAGATCCATCGTCATGAAAAGTCCAATTGTTTCTAATTTTTTATTTTCGATATTCTATATTTTTGCTATTTTTTTTTAAATTTTGTTTTAAAATTAAACTACTAAATCAATCCTAAAAACTAATAACTACCACTAAAATAATACACTATTTTTTTTTTATTTTTATATCAAATTCTATTATAAAATATAATAAAACAAAAAGCTAAATCAAAAACTAAACTAATTTAAAATAAAACTAAAAAGCTAAAAATTAATCTACTATTTACAAACCATCGAGAATTCCTCACCCCACACTTAAAATATGCAATGTCCCTAGTGTATTTATAAAGCAATAAGAATCCAATAAGGTGGTAAGAAAACTCCCTGGTCAGTCTTTATCATCTCCCTTATCATAGAAGGCCCTCTCAGCTGCCTCCCAGCCCTCATCATCATTTCGACCATCCGCATCTTCATCGGCTTCCTCCTCAGTCTACTGTGGCTCGGGCTTTGAGCATTCAGGTGTGTTGACATCTTTGACTTCAGGAAATTTGTGACCGTCACAAAGCCCAACTAGACGTTGGGCATGAGCATTGAGTGGATAATGGTAGAAACCGAGCATTGATCAACTTCAACCAGACATGGGCCTCCAGCTTCATTTCTTCTTTGGGAAGTTTCTATGGCGGTGAGTCTTTTTATCACCAACTCAGGTAGCCACAGAATTGACACCGCATAAAGTGTGTCAAAGCTCGTGATATGTCGGTCGGGCAATGAAGTTATCCAATACCTCATGTGGAACATCTGGAGCTCCCAAGCAACCACATAGAGAATACGAATAGATATCGATTAACTTTCCCCGAATGGGCACTAACTTCTATGGATTATCCGGATCCCATCCGGCATAGAACTCACAAACTAGGCTCACATTGATGTCTTGGGGTTCCCAAAAATATAGATCAACCCTAGTGTGAGTAGACTTCGAAATTGCTGGATACTTAGATCACAAACGACGCTCATCCATAGCTAAATATGGGTGCTTATGCTTTGGCCTAAAAATCATGTACCACGGCTTGGCTGATATGGGTATGATTTTAAGCCCATATTCACACTTGCCCTGAGGTCTTAGTTGTGGGCTACCATGGCCGCAACTGCTTTCAACCCCTCAGCATGATTAAAAGTGGCCTCTCTTCCTTTTTGTTTTTTTAGTGGTGGTGCGAAGGATGTCTTGCCTTTAGTGGGATAGTGGCTTTGCCATTTTCCTTGTTCGTTGGCGATGTATTGGATTTTGGACATAGCATATTTGTACCTGCACAAGTTTATGTTAATTAACATTGGAGGGCATATTTGAAACGTGGTCGTACGACCAAACACTTAAGTGTTTAGCACATTGTTGTCAAGTAAGTCGAGGCTACTTAAACTTCACCTCTTGAAATAAAGCAATGATTGTAGTTACAAGAAAACTAGTCCATACGTGAAGACAATGTAGGTGCCATACTTGAACCTTCAACCCAGCTCCGGTGAGCCACCCCACACTTAAATTTTATTCTAGGGAAGTGTACCATCCACTAGTGTATCAATCCCTGAAACTTGAGTTCCAATTAGGACAAAAAGTGCCTTTGAGCCATTTTAACAAACATGTGATACGCAATAGTTGGGATGAAGCTTTTGTGTGGGTGAGGGATTTCTCCACCCTCCCAAAATGGATTGGGATTCGAGTGTAAACACTCATTTGAGAAATAAAAATATCAATCCTATGGGGTTCATGGGATTGGGACAAACATTCACAATTTCACATTCAAGACATTCATAGTTTGCATGTTGCAATACACTTCAATTAATCCCAAAATAGAAGAAATATGAACCAAAAATTATACCGTAGATGTTGAAAGATAGAGAAGTGATCTTCAATTAATGTTGTGCTTGGTTGTATGCGTGTGTGAGTGTCAAACTTCAACCTAGGTAAGGCGTGGCCGCTACCTGGTACGGTAACCACTCTACAACTCTTGAATGCTAGATGTAACCCAGAACGTACATAAGCCAACATGGCCGAACTCTATCATACTATAAGCTATCATGTCCAACTTGGCCGCAACTCATAATATATCATAGGCAGGAAAGCGTCATATACTCAAAACATTAATACATGTTCGGGCCAAGGAGGCAACTATGAGTATCAATACTGGACATCCCAAAAAGAAAACCTAAATGAGGGTCGACAAGGCCACTGACATACTGAACCTGTATCTACAAAGCCTCTGAGAGTATTTAACATCAAAATATTATCGGGACAGGGCCTCTTCCTACCCGTAAGTCTATAGTAAAGTCTGATATTATGACCTCTAGACTCGGCTGCACTCTGAAAGAAATGAAGTCTTACCGACCCCGAGTTGAATATCAATCCCGTCTACTATGAGGGCTCGTTAAACTGATTACCTGCATGGGACGTTAGTACAACGAGATGTACCAAGTCTGTAAGGTAGAAAGCAATACATATAAGTAAATTCTGAAAATCAAAAAGCATGAATGAATAAAAAAGTTGTTCTCCAAATGATAAGAATAAGAGTGGGTTTACTACGTACCCTAGATCGGCTTACTAGCTTGTAGTCACTTGAACAACTTGGTCCTTCTATATGATTGAACAACTCATCCTATCATAAGATTTTGAACCATTTCTATCAACCCGTGCTTAGTTATCTCTAATTACATCATCATCATTAATTATTATCAAATTACAAAGTGGCTCTTATGTGTAGCAAGGTAGACCGTCCGTAAGGGCACTACAACATTACTATCTGGTTGCATGTACACATAGCAAAGTAGACCGTTCAAATGGTGTCATGCCCCATCTTTGGGGAGCGGGACCGGTGCTATACGGAGATATCCCAGTCGAGCAAGCCTACTTGATGCCTACTATCCAAACTTACCCATGAATAATTTGAGAATCAATAACAAGAGATAGACATGATAGGATAATGGGTACAACACCATTTTCCATTACTTAAAGGGCTTCACTGACAATTTCCAAAAGCTTACAAGTTCATATTTAAAAGTAGAACATCCAATAACTATAACATTTATAGTCCATATCCCCAAATGAAAACACAATAACAATATGTCTACAGAGCCTCTAAATGAAACAAAAGAGTAGTATGAAAATACTGGTAACAAGGCCCCGGATATCCCTCAAAAGCAATATACAAGATAATAAGACAACATATGGGCCCCGGTGTAGAGTAGGGCTCACCAAAATCTGCTGAGTGGAGGGTATGCTGCTGTCAAGGATCAGCACCGCCTGCTGGGGAACAACCTGCATCCATTAAAGATGCAGCGCCCCCGATAAAAGGGACATTAATACATATGAAACTTTACTAATATATAAAGTTAAATAACTTCTCATGGAATGGAGTACAAACATAAAAGGAGAGAATCATGGAAGCAGTAAAAAAAATCAATACATATTTAAATGCCATATTGAAACAAACTAATCCTTCAAGTAAGAATTAACAATATAGGTTTGGAGATCCTTAATACCGATACACAATCATGCACATGGAAAAAATTATGTGAATGTCTATGAGATGAACATATTTCTTATATATAAAAGTATTTTCGGGAGTATCATTAGGTCTCCGAGGAAGGATGGGTTATAAATGCCAAAGCTCGAAACTATACGTCCCGATATAGGAGATGATAGAGGAATAAATTCACGTTATGATATGTTGAGAATATTTTCCTTGATAGGGATGAGTTCATAGCTAGCAAGGACCATATAGACCCACACGATATTGTAGTAAGATGGCTTCACCGATCAGGCAGAGATCGGATGCCATGCTAAATTTCTGGGTTGGTTGCTCGTGGGTTGGTTTTTGGTGTTTTTGTTTAAATTTTTGTGTTTCTGTAAGCTTCCTTCATGTGGGATTTTGATTTCTATAAGTTTTCTGCCGTTCTGTCTCTGCGTACATTTCATAAGTGTCATGGCTTTCTCAAGTATTCTGATTACTAAGTTGTAGCGTGGTAGTATTAGACTTTAATCTAGGTGATCAGCAACTAAAATCTTAAGGTTAGTTTTCGTATTTTACCTCAGTACCAGAAATATCTACTTAAGCTATGTAACTTATGAAAAATATTACTACAGTACTAATTTAGTATTTTCCAATGTAACCATACACATAAAAAGAAAGAGGTGGCTACTTAGAGAAATTTTATGGGACATGGTTTAGACTTAGCATCATCGAGTGATTAAGCAGTGAAAATGGCATGAGACAAGAAGCAAAATTCGCTAAAATATAGAGATGAGATAGAGCTATTTAGAAGGAGGTACCTGTTGCATTGTTGGAAGAACCTCTGCCTTAAGCCAGCAACAAGAACAATTGGAGCCTTGGCATGAACTTGACAAACTTTGTGCCTTTTGTAGTACTTCTTTGCTCCACTCAAATCAACTCCACATTTCTCCATTTTACAACGGGGTCCTCCACCACCCTTACTATTTGACCCTTTTCTCTTTTCAAGATTCAGTCTTTTCCTCTTCAAGTTACTCTCCTCAATTAGCTCTACTCCAACATTCTCCTCTTCTTCCTCCTCCGTTTCTTCCTCTTCATCAAAGTCGTTGTTTTCTGCTGTGTTCTTCAAAGGCATACCATAGATATGGGTTGCCATGCTTTTCTTTAATATGAAGGTTCTAGTAAGCTCAAAGAGGAGAGATAGAGTTTGCTAAAGAGTACATAATGAATATAGGATGGGCATGCTAAGACAAAAGGTGAAAAAAGCTTGTGAGGACCACAACTACAATCACAACCAGTGGCGGAGCCACATATAATTAAGGAAGTTAAATTCAATACCAGGAAAATTATACCTTACAAATAGAGTTAATTAGCTTTTGATGTAAATTAGGCACAATATTCATTTCTTTACATGGTAAGGAAGCTAGATCTATCCGAATTTTTTGTTTCTCTAATGTTGGGCTTTAATGTTATATTTGTCCACGTTCTAGATGTTTAGTCTTAGACGTGTGGACGCGTTAGAAGTATGACATGGTTATTTATCTCCTAATATGGTTTGAGACAATCTTTAGTTATTCAGTTAATTTTTGGGGTTGAGTTAGACACAAGGTGATATTAACTTTTATCATAAATAAAAAAAATCAGAAGTTTATTGCTTGGAAGCTTTTTTGATGTCCCTTGGATTAACAAAGCAACTTATTTAATAGGTTTCAACTCTTACCAACTTTGGCCACAGGTTATAAGTTTTCTGCCGTGCTGTCTCTGCGTGAATTTCATATATTATATTGTTCACGTTCTAAATATTCAGCCTTGGATGTGAAATTAAATATCATAGCTTTAATTTCTGCTCAATCTCAACCTAGGGTTAGGAGATCTTATCCTTCAGATGTCAAATTTTCTTTTCATAGAGATAAGTGAATTGTGTAATTAACTTTGCAATCTCACAGTCTTAATAGAATAATTCTTCATTGTATAGTTTCTCTAGAAAGGTAGATTTTTTTTTATTTTTTTATCTCCAAGTATGGCCTTCTTGATCTCTGGACTTTGCTTATCTTGAATATTAATTTTGGTGATTTGAATATATTATATAGGATATCCATGGATTATGGTGATAAAAGTTGGATGAATCTCCTAAGATGGGCGGATGAGTATATATGTGGAGCGAATAATTTACTTGATAAGGCATTTGAACGAGCCGCCAAAGAAAATAAAATATTATGCCCTTGCAAAAAGTGCATTAATCGCTATAGGTATTATGAAAATGTGGTGGAGGATCATTTGATTGTTTGTGGGTTTGTTGATGGTTATACCGAATGGGTTTTTCACGGGGAGGAATTTTTCTCGAGAAATACACCTCTTACAAGCAATGATGATGAAGGTTCTAACATGCGTGACGATATTGATGGAATACTTCATGATACATTTAGAAATATAGAGGGTCAGATAAGGGATGGTGGGAGTATCTTTTTATGTGTTGCTGATGCCTTGATCTCCAGAATATCTTTGTCCATATATTATGGGATAAACCAGCACTTTGCCATCCAATTTTGGGGTTTAATACAGAATTTTATACTTCCCTTTTACCCTTGGATTTTTGGACTAAGAGAATTTTTAGATCGGATTCTCTTGAAGGGATAATGACTTTATTTACACACTTTTGTAGGTGGAGTAAATGAAGAAATGGAAGACGGAGGCAGTGATGAAGATCTAGACCTTACTTAAGAGAATTTTGAATTGCTGTAGATGCATGTGGCGGTTTCTAGGAATATTTGTTATCAAAACATTTTAAAATTTTTAACTCTTGAAATATCAAATGTATGTACTTAGTAACATTTCATCACTTCTATGGATTTATTAGCTTGTTGGATAATTTTGATTATGAATAGTTTTATTTTGTTATTTATATAAATTTTAGTATTTTATAGTTTATTGTATATATATGTAAATATTTATTTACAACAAGGGCACTATTTTCAATTCAATTAAACTGTTACAATAGCTAACAGAATCGTTGCCATAGGACCTGCAAACCGTTCCAAAATAATCTAAAAACCATTGCAATAGATAGTTCAACCGTTATAATATCTTAAAGAAATCGTTGTCATTTCTATAATAGCCGTGACAGTTTAATAGATATAGTAACGGTTATTTACCGTTGCATTAAACGTTATGGTAACGGAATTCAACCGTTGCAGTTGATAAGAATAATTGGTCCAACAGGAAGAGGAAAAACCGTTGCGATAGACTATACTACAGCAACGGTTATCTGAACCGTTCCAATAACCGTTCCTTAAGCTCTATAGGAACGCGAGCTTATGGAACGGTTTACCTATATATTGCAACGGTTTTTCATGCGTAGCCATAGGTAAATTTTCCAGTAGTGCCGATACAAAGCCATATTTCTGTCGTAGTCTCATAAGTTATGGCCTTTTACGATTCCATACATCATCCCTGCACTATATGCCTAGATCTGAGACAAAATTGGTCATTAAGTCAATTTCATTGCCCGCAAACTCTTTTATCATGTCCGGTCAAAGAGAGATTGCTGTTGACGACCAATTTTAACCCTCCCCATTTAAATTATTTTTTTTTACAATTTTTAATCAGCAGTAAGTGTAGTGGAGTATTTTTAAATTAATAATACCTACTTTCTCAAAATAAAGGATATAATACATATAATGACAGTTAGTAATATTAATTTTCTAATCAATTGTAATTTAATCTTAAATATTTATAAATTATATTACTTCTAATGATTTACTTAATTAAACTAACTTTCATATTATGTAAATAGTTTTTACGATTAATTTAATAATTTAGTCCTAAATTCAAAATTATATTACCCTTGTTACTTTAATTAACCAAAAATAGTTTTTACAATTTAATAGATAAAGTATAATAATTATTTTGAAAAATAATTAATTACAGTAATTAACTAATAATATATTTGATAATTATATTTTATTGCATTTTATTGGGATTAATTAAATCTAATTAATTTAATTATGAAAGGGGTAAAATTTTTAAATAGGCTGCAATTGCAATTGTTTAGTTTTAATTCATGGGGCTATACTTGCAATCACTATCTAACTAATTTCGGCCCAAAGCATAGTCCCAATGCATCACGACCCGACCTGGCAACCCCATCCCTGTCCAAGTTGGCAATCTGTACCGCAACTTTTAAACCAATCGTTGCATGCTATGTCACCCCTCTTCAGATACTCACACAACTAACACAAGCAATCTGGACTATTGATTAAATCCATCATTGGTCCACAATTAATCCCAGCTTTTTATTTTATTTTAAATAGTTCAGTGATTCATCTCATCCGTCAGATCATTTCCCTCATTTTCTATAATTAAATCCTTTATCTATTTCTAACCTCCAAAGATCTGGAGCCATTGATCAAAATGATATAACGGCTCCCCTTCGGTCACTCATGTAATGATCCGACAGGTCATTTTGAGTATTTGCATCCCATTTCTCCTTTTGATGCTTCACACTATATGTTGTTTTATGATTTACATGGTTGGTTAGTTTTATTGCGGGAAGATTTTAGGTTGATTTGGACCCTTTGGTTCTTAGCTTAGAAGCTTAAGTTAGAAATATTGACCGAAGTTTGATGTTACATCTCACATTTCGTACATTAAAGTTTCGCCGTAAGTTAATCGACGTAAGCTCGGGAATGAGATTATTTTTGAGGTTATAAGTATTTATGTTATTTGTAAAAAGTGATAAGTAAGTGCCGTGAAGATTAGAGGGTAAACAAATCAAAGAATGAGTATTCGTTGAAATTTGTCAATTTGGGATAAAATACGGTCCAAGCTATAATACCCTATATTTATAGACTAGTGCCATACAAGGTACCACATGACCATGATAGTAAGGTATATGAAGTGTATTAGTATTTAAGTAAATTGTGTGCTAGAATTAATTATGTGAATAATTGATTAATTGTGGGAATAATGTGAGAAAATAAGGAAATAATTATGGTATTAAATAGGATTAAATGGATAAGGATTTTTAATGGACTGCCACATGGCATTAAGTTGGCCAAGGGTGGCACCAATGTACATAGGTGAGTCATAGCACTTGATGTGCCTTGTTTACACGTGATAGTGCAAGGCATATCCCTTAAGCCTTCATGTTATTCTTCTTTGACAATTTGAGATATAGAAAGGATGTTGAAATCTTTCCTTCTATTGTTGGGGATTGTCTTACTTTAGAACATAGCCAAAAACGTACACATACAATACTCCATATGTTCAACAACATGAAGTATGCCATGATCATAAGAAGTGCTTAGTTCTTGTTCAAAGATTTAGAAGGGGCAAAAGTTGTTCTTGGCAAGCTCAAGTAAAAGTGTTTGATAAATTCATCAAGTAAGGTATGTTAAGGCTATTCTTTCTTTCCATTTGGCATGATCCATACGATACAAATGAAACGAGCAAATGCACAACTTTCATAAATGCCTGTATTCATAGAAGCAGTAGGGGTGCCTATGTTCTTCATCCCTCATATGTCTTATTATTATATCTTCTGTTCATGGGTCTCAGAAAAATACGTAATTGATAAAGTTTATCCGAAGACATATTGATCTTATGACATTCCGAGAAATCTTATTAACTTACTTATTTTGCATTTCATTCATTTATACATGTACATTGACCCATGACTAGATGACGTTATATACGCGTATATTATATGCATATGGGATACGGAAAAAGGTTACATCGTTATATACGCACTACCATCTGATCAGTTGGTATACGTTGATGATTTCACCCACAGAGGCCGAGATGATATGATGAGATGCCCTCAGAGGCTTGATGATGTTGTGTACACATATACCTATGCATGATACGACATTTATACACACATGCATGACTTTATAAATATTTCAGGATTCACAACATTATTTAGACTTACAGGCGGATTCCTTTACTCCATGTTTCTTTTATGTCTTTTATGTATTGATTTTCATGCTTTACATACTCGGTACATTATTCGTACTGACGCCCCTCATTCCTGGGGCCTGCATTTCATGCCCGCAGGTGCAGGTAGACAGGCTGACGGTCCCCCTCTTTAGGATCCCTGATCAGCGAGAGTTTGTGTGCTCCACTTGATCCAGAGCCGTTATTAGTTTTGGTACGCTATTTTTGTATGTAGATATGGGTACG